GATGGCCTAACCAATTAAGTAATATAATTTGTTTTACAATGCAGCATATAAACTGAAATCATTTACAATAGATGTTATACTAGTAAACACCATGCATCAATAAGACGAGTATTATTTGCAAGTTCGAAATATGAATTCATTTTTTCCACACTTTTGTATCAAAAGCTTATTTTATGTGACAACTACACTCTCAGAACATACTTGCTCTATATTACAAAGTGCACTTTCATGTAAGCTGTTTTTGAACAAAAGTGTTTCATTTTCACACACGTCACACGCAATAGTGCGTATTAGCAAGCCGCGAATGTTCGAAAGAGAAAATGATTATGATCAAATATAAAAATAAAAAACACTAAACAATATACACAATTAACATTAGTAGGTACATGCATAGAGCATTTATTGATTTATACATTTAATGTACAGAATATAAAGTTAAAGCACTCTTAATTCGCATATATTTCGAAACACAAGACCAGTAAAATAATTATATTTAACCACGTATTATTATTATAGTATGTGCTGTACACAAAAATAAAGTTTACCCGTAGACCTGTCAAGTAAATGTGATTAAAAAAAAAACGAAAACAAAAATGATCTAAGAGTTTAACATTACACTTGTGGAGTCGTGGATACGGGCCACACCCCCATGAAAAAAGGGTTGTTTTCCTATTATAATTTTCTTAAGCACTAATAACCCGTGTAAAAACGAACTATGAAACATTTTTCATAAAATAATTGTAGTTTATCGTGCGTTCTTTACAAAATATGAAAGTGGATGATTATTATAATATGGTCACATAATATACAGTCGTGGCCTACCAATAAGGCAACAGCCTGTACAATAATATTCCTACAATACCGACATACTATTCAACGACTATAAGTTATAACCTTCATTGCAATCGATTGTGTAGTCTTAGATATTATGTTTTTATTCACGTTTGTTGCTGGCCAATGTATTTGTACAGCCGGTACAGAGTTTATTATAATATAAAACAGATTAATACAATACACATAAGTATAATATCTTGTATAAATTGTACAATAATATCGTGAGAAAATTTAAATACGAAAATTAACTCAACTATACCTACTCGTATTAACGGATATTTAATGAAATTATATTATGTAAGCCTTTATAGTATGTACATGACACGTGCGTTCTACGTCCAGAATATCTCTCGGAACGACGACTTTATCGGCCTTTGCGTCCAACGTTTCGTTCGGTCACCACCTCAGATAAATATTATACGTGACACTTGCCCGTGCATCTCGTCCAAGGCTCACTTTTGCGGCGAGGGGATGCCTTTGAACGCAATATTATATTATTATTTATTGACCGCCAGCACACAGGTATTCGTGTTCGTTTGAACGGTTCTGCGGGTCGTACATTATTATAATAATATATAACGATAAAATTAAGTGCAAAATACGCACAAACACAATCCCGGGTTGCAAGTCGAAATGGACGGGGTAGGACGGGTGTATTCCCTGTTCATTTTTCGTCACCGCCTCCGACAGCGAGTGACGAGCCATCATCGTCACGTTCACTCCGCACACGACATGACAATAGTAATTATTATAATGCGAACGTCAACTACGGAAATATACGATGTTATTGTAAGACAATATCATGGTATAGTTTATTCTTGAAAAGGACGTTTGATTGAAAACCGCAAGTAGCCCTTTCGACGTTCATATCATGAAAAAACACATATTTTAAGTTGTATAACAGTTGTACAACTGTTCTGATATACTCAAACCGCGTTCTCGGCGACCGTCTTCGCAACTGGCCGTTATTACTATTAGCGGTCCGGATCGATTAACGTATAGCGATTAAAACGAGAACGAGTTCCCTAAGTCGAATAGTACTTAATGTTTTTTTTGGGGCCATATACGATTGGTGGCTAAGTTTAATGATGAGTATTTAATGAATTATAAAAACATGATGAAAATAATTAGAGTCGCTGACACGGTTTTTACAGTTTTCTTTAACTTTGTTTCGACAAGCATAGTCAAAAGTTTAATGGTGAAAAACCAAATGACTAGATTTTAGTAGTTTTTTTTTTGTTTGAGCATCCCCGATGTTATCGAAATTGAACTTGAAATTTCTAAAAGAAAAATTGTTTATTTATATTTTTAGTACCAAAGCTTTTTTTGTGAAGCTTAAAAATTATTACGAACATTTAATAATAAAAGTTCAAGAAATCCAAAAAATCACTTTAATGGTATAAATTGATCTAAATATTTTGTTAATTACATTGTATGCGGAAAATTATAACTTTCGTAATAGTGTAATGTTTCAAGTTGCTTATCATACAGTAACGAAACCCATCATAATATGCATTAAGAAATTAAATTCAATCAAAATACTTCAATGGCTTATTACGAAGATACCTAAGTTATACACTTAACTCTTTTTTTTATTTCTAGTTAAATTAACTTTAGAGGAATATTCACACAAAACAAAAATTATATAATATCATTGTAAAACCAATACATTAATCGCTGAATTCAGAATCAAGAGTGAAAACTATAGAAAACTAACTGTATTATAACTTAAATAATTTATCTACCGTTGTTTTATTTTCATATAAAACATAAGAAAAGAGCACTCAATTATAAAAAAAAAGATATTATATTTTTCTTTTTCTCGTTTTGTTACAAATAATATAACATTTTCACATTTGTGTAATCGAAAAAATAATAGCATCGGATCATAAAATATAATGTTATTCTCCATATTACATACAAACTAGTTTTCTTAATCAGCTGATATGGAACTCGAATGACACAGTTTTTAAATAAAATTAGGTTAAAACCATTAGATGAACTTACACAGGACCACTGTCTTGTAAACTACCTATCTATATTCTATAAAAAGTATTAACTTACATTTTTGATTTTTAAATTAAAATTTATCAACGAATACCTATGTTGGAACTCTAGAATTGTCTATTTTAATTCACCCTTAAAATTTGTTTTAAGGCTTCTAATTTGAATAGTTATTTATTATTCATTTTTCGTTTTTATTATTCACTGCCACCAATTTGTTATAATGGCTTTAAAAATGAACTCTAACAATATAATATATTGTTGATAAAAATAACCGAGTATTTGAGTTAACGACCACTTAAAATATATAATGCACGCACAATAGGTTAGGACGTTAGGTACCCATATAAAATAGTTTATGCGAATATTTTATCTATTATTATTGTGTTTTCGGAATAACTTTTGTGTATACTGTATATTATTTATTATCAGTTTTTTTAATGATAATGAATAATTGTAATATTTGACAACTTATGATTTTTGGAGTGTACAATTTGAGACCACCTCTAAATAAACAAATTATTAGATGAGGCTAAAAATTAAAATAGATTAGTAAAATATAGTTAGTTAGATACTAACAAATATGAAATAATAATCCATCCAAATTTCTATGACGTATCTTTGGACAGATTTATCATTAATCATTGGCAATGTTTTTTTTTTATTTGATGTTGGATGAATAGTTAAGATTTTTAAGCTTTTGATGTCATATAATATATTATGTATATTATGTATATTTATTTTAGATTCTGAGCGAAGAGTGAAGTGTATTGATTTTGCAATGATGTTTTTTTATGTTCTTTTGTGATCATGTTTGTGGGTAAGACCTCGACGAGTGTTCAGAAGTTTCAAGAGAACCTTTTAAGATTTTAGTCTATATAATATATATTGTAATTATATTAGGTCAATAAAGGTTATATTTTGAATTGATCGGCTTTTCCTTTAAGCATAAGTAAAACTACAGCCCAACGTTGGACAAATTTAGAACTGATATGAAGAAACGAAATTATTACAGAAATCCGATGAGAAAAGTTTTTCAAACGACATGGTATATTATTTTATTTGAAAAAATGTAATTTTGTCACAGTGAACACTAGACTACCCTATTCCAAGACGAGAAAAGCGATATAACACATAACACGTCATATTGTCCTTAAATCATTTTCTCACTCAATTCTCTTACTCATGTATCATCAGTGTATCACTATCCACCATAATAAAATGAAACTTATGTTATACCTAACAATTTTATCTCAATTTAATGCAATTCGTCTAAATGAAAAGAAAAATCTAAAAATATGTTATACGCCTGGAACTTATATATTTTTTTCATTATTTACTATTAGTGAACAAAAAAATGTATTCAACCGTCTATGGGGTTGATATCATTACTTATATCGAACATACTAATATAGAATATTTAAGATTTCATTTGGAGTTTGTCCATCGATTATATTTTTGTAAACTGACGTGAGGATATTTCACATGTTTAAGCTCTAGAAATAGGACAATTCAACAAAACAATATATTTAATAGTTAGACAAATTAATGTACCGTAAACATTTTTATTTTTTCCCATTAAACTTTTATGAAGCCCAGTGGTACAATAAGTGCATAACATCAAACAATATTACTTTTTAAGTTACTAATTCAATACAATAAGTATATGACCATGACATAGGCTGACTGTATTGAAACTAACATTTTGATAAAAATGCAAAACATGATTGTGGTTTAATAATAATGATTAAATCACACAATATTATTGTGTAAAACCACGAAAATGACAAGTAGTTCGATGTTTAGAAATAATCGTATTTATATTATATACGTCATATTTTTTCTATTTAAACAACGTTCATTTCATTGTGAATTTGTGAGCCTTGTATAATAAAAATATTATTTTTTTTTGTTATTAAAAACTAAACAGTCAATGAACGTATACATTAACGTACGGCCAGCGCTAGTTAAAAAATAACCTTAATAATGTATATTTGTATATTTGGACGCGGTCCAAACGATGCATGTTGGAAATCAGTGATTTTTATTACAGTGTTGTGCTTTATTGTGCGTTCGTAGAGTTCAAAATTCATATACGCGTGTGTGCAAAAAAAAAAACGATTTCCTTTCTGCTTGTCAAGCGCACTCGAATTAGTGGAAAAAACTGGTCGTCGTATATTTGTTATTTGTAATTTTTTTTTTTATGTTTACTATTATTATTTTATTTTATAATTCATCGTCGGGCCACTTATGTACATGTGGTGGGGAGTGAAGGAAAAAAGTAAAATAAAAATCCCTAACCCGATTCTGTGCATGCGCACATGACTCCACAAAACCTCGTGTGTGCATGACGCGGCGGACCCGCGGAAGTGCAGTTATGCCGTACCCGCCGAACCGTCCGGGACGCGACGCCTTTCGACCAAACGTTTCGTCGGGAAAACGCTATACCTACCGAGAATGCGTCTCGATCATGGTACGAAAATATCATTTTTCTCGTTTCTAAATATAGTCGTAATAGCCATTACGATTTGTTGAGTTATTTTGAAGACGATCGACGGTAACTTAAAGTGAAAATCGAAGTTTGTATTCAATAATATAAAATCACTTATTGACACACAAGCATGATAGTCCCGACGGCCGCCTTTCGGGTAAGTAATACATTATTAATTATTATTATATTATTGTATCCTCAATTTTCCTAACTTACTTAAATGGTATCGTCGGGTCATAACTAACTGAACATAATTTTTTTCTATAAATTGTATAAACATTATCCATTAAAAATAACTTAGCCATATTATAAAATAATTTTTTTTTATCTAATATAAGTAATTTTTACATTATTTTTTAACCAACAATATCACACAAAAAATTATATGTTTTTAGTTTAATAATTTGGTTACTATACTTACAAAAATAATTTATAATATTATAATATACAAACTCATCAAATTAATTTCTGTAAAATTGAATTAAGACATAAGACATTCACATTTATAACTAAAAATTACAACTTCCTTATTATTATGTATATTAAAAATAATGTTTTCTATATGCCAAATTATATACAAATTTTAAAAATTATATGAAATAAATTACTTAATATCAATTGAACGTAACATTTATAAAATTATGTATATTGCTACACGTTTATTTGATAGGAGGTTCTCACATATAGGACAGTGATTTTGATTTTTTTTTATGAAACAAATACTCACGTAATTGATATTATCTAGTCTTTTATTACCAAAAACAACTATAAACATACGATAAACGTGTCTTACGATTGATAACGACATACATACAAATTAATGTATTCGTAGTCATAAAATAAAATAAAATGTATTTCAAAGTGACTAAAACACAATCTAATATATATTATTGAACAAAAAAAAAAAAAACAAATGTGTTTTTTTTTTGACCAGACAATACCAGTTAAAAGACATTATTACCTACGTATTATTATTATTATTATTATTATTATTATTAAATTGTAAAGATTTCCACGTTAGTGAGACTAGCATAAAAAGTATAATAACATCTATTAAGTACCTTTTTTTTTTATCTAGGTTCAGTAATAATCAGCCATAATATTACTGAATACTATTATTAATAGTATTATGCCTTCTATTTCAAGTTCAAATTTTGATGCGATATTCTTATATCAACTTAATACGTTTAATGAGAAATGTTTAACATAATATAACTATTATAATCGAAAGTGATTTAGTGACATAATTTATTATGGCTAAGACATTTACTCGTAGAACAATAGGTACATTATTCTGTATATAATGAATATGATGAACTTACCTATAATTTACAATAATTATATATTCATGTAATTATTTTGGTTTATTCGAGAAAATTGTAGAAAATGCAGTCGCGATGTAAATTTAACCGGTATGAAATATATTTTGTAAGGCTATTGTATAATAGGTAAGTTAAACAAAATTAGACCCAACCAAATACAATTATTTTGTATGGCTTATTTCGGAACTAATTTTCAATAGTAGACTATTATTAATTTATGAAGTCAGTCGAAAATAAATCAAAATTACGGAAAATAACTTCAAGGTTAATGAATATTATATGCTAGTTACTTTACATGTTTACTACTCTACGAAGTAGAGAAAAAGAAGTAAAAAGATGTAAAATTGAAAACAATTAATTTTTTTGTTACCTACTGGAAAATCGATTGATCCAATATTGATCAGTTTAATATTATTTTATTATTGTTTTCTTAATTAACCAACGTTTTTAGTTAAATATAATTAATAATTCTTATTACATTTAAAAATACACATAAGTTGTATCAATATTAAATACATTTTCAAACAGTTTCATTTGCATTATTTAGCCATTAATAATTATTCGTATGGATATTGTTCCAATTTTAGTATATGTATGACCAAAGCTAAATAGTTTCTATTTTTGCAGTCTTTTTATAGTTACAATATAATATTTTGACCAATATATTATGTATGAAGTACATAAATAAAATAATACTAATTTAATCGTAAGGAAATCATCAGTTTTCAATTAATTCTTATGACAAATATTTCTACCTAAATAATTTCCGACACATTAATCTCATGTGTGTAGTGCATTAGAAAATACGATGAAAAATTGATGTTATTTCTAGAAAATATAACGAAATCTAGTCCACTAATAACTTTCTATTTAGAAGAACCCCCTCGTCTTTTAATATTGTCGGGCTACGTTATATTTATTTATTTTTTATTTATTACTCCATTGCAGATAGTTTTTACTGAGTCCGGTCATGGAGTAAAAGTTTACAGTTTTTCCAGTAAGACCTTTTTGCATTCAAGCGCAGACGCAAATATTGTAGTGTCACGTTTTTTTCTAGGAAAAAGTGTTTACTTATTTCACTTTTTTATGTAGTTTAATAGTGTTTTTTAACGACCATACACTCTTTGGCAACATTTGTTTTTGATGGATATTTCATATCCGACTATGGTACGTAATAAAATGTGTCACTTTACTCACTCGAATATTTAAATTTAAGTACAAATATATTTGAATAGGTATATCACGGTTTATAAATATGAATAAACCCAATATTCAAACATGGATGAATATTTACATTTTAAAAATAATTAATTCCTAAATTTATTTATCAAATAACAATGGATTGCCAATGCACTACATTTAGGCATCCAGTTATTTTATAATCATAAAAGTGCACTAAAAAATCTAATGTTTGGTAAAAACGTATAAATAAAACTAATTAGATAACTATTAAATTTAAAATTGTGTGCATGAGGATAATAAGTAGGTTACCTAATCGCCGAGCTATAACATTGTCATTTTCTACATTTTAGCATATATTATAACTTACAAGTAATATATTTTAAACATTATAACATGGTGCCTCAATTTGATCATCCTAGTAGTATACCTGTATAAACCCGTCCGAATAACATGTGTATGTATATTGTATAGGTACCCAATACTCTACTGAACATCTCCTTCTTAAACTGTAAATCTCAAACTACTATCTAAGTGCTTCATGAAAACTAGTAATTTTACTTTAAATTATTAATATAAGCTTATACAGTCTGTAAACTTTATCTTACATTTTTGTGAAGCACGAATTCAAATTTTTTTTTATTTGAGAGAAGGTAAACTAAAAAAAACTCTATAAAGTCCCTCTTATTTATGCGAATATAAGGCTTAAACCTTGTCAAGTTTCTGTGAAAACTATTTGTCAACAAAGTAATAAACACTGAAATTGTTCAGAATTTCAATATATTTTTTTTTTTTTTTACATCAAAATTAGTTTAACCACAAATTCATTTTCTATATATTTCAATATGTTTCTTAATTTAGTATGTATATAATTACAAATACAGATATTCTAAAATGTACCTACTTTAAGTATAATTTTAGGAAACAATAACAAACAATAATACATTGACCCCTCTTACCTTAACCGTACAACAAAGATTCTTCTGCAGTATTCCGTTAAACCTATTAACCTATTGTTTCTTGTAGCTTTTTAATGTCAAGAAAAATAATTAATAAAGACAGTTTTAGATATTTGATGAGGTAGGTACCGTAGTACTTTTAAATGACTATAGAAAAATGACTGATACAGATAAATTAGATTCGTGTTTATACAGATAGACTATGAACTAATGTACCCATATTCATTTTTTTGTTTCTTAGTTGATTTTATTATTATAATAATTGAATGTTTAAGGCTTTAAGTTATTTAACAACTAATGTTAATTTTTAAATTGTTCATACAATATATTTCTAGTTCAATATTTTATTTGTTTTTTATTTGATCATCTTTGAATTATGATATAATTTTAATTCATTAATTATTTACAACATGTAATTACCTTCATTACAGTTACATGTAATTATTGAATATTATGAATCAATCTAATTATAAATAAGCTACCTACCTATAAATAAGCCAATTCAAGTTTTTTTTATACATTTTTCATACATTTTGTTTGTTTTATCGATGTTGTTTTTTATACCGACAATTCTGTTTGCACGTTCAATAAATAATATCAACGCATATAATATGAAAATATAACCTTTAAGTACAACATTTAAGTCATGTTTATTAAATATTTTACAAAATCTTTACATTAATACAGTGATTTATTTTTAAGTTACCGAACCTTTTTTTTTGGAACTGCAGTTGTCGAGGTGAGTTACACACCTCTTCTGTGTTTTCTACATTTGGGGTTTAAATTGTACCTGTACGTAAATACCTATTATAACTTTATTGTTCAATGTAGTGAGAGAGATATTATATTCCTACAATTTTGCTCTCAGGTTTTTAATCAACACTTTTAGGGGAGTTTTTTTAAAAAGCACATGTTGTTTTAAAATGAATACATATTATAAACGCTTTAATTGGCATATTATGTATTAATGTTCGAATAGTCAATGAAAAAATTTGGAAAATAAGATAAATATGACATGTAATTAAACACCTTGCCTAAAAAATGAAAACATAATGACCATTTTTGAGTGAACCATGCTCAAATTAACATGATTAAACATACAAATTTAAAATAATGGTACAAGATACTATATTGTATGAATTATGATAGTATATTAATATTTTGAATGCCTAGTAAAGAAAGTTTACCAAAAAAATATTTTAAAATGTATTGTTGATGAAACTTAACATGAAATCATCAAATATATAGGTCACGTTTTAAATATTTTGAGTTAAAAAACAAGAGGAAAAATAAATGATAGTCATATTTAAATTAAATATGTATATTATATATTTTAAACATACATGGCATACTGATAAGTGACTTGACTTACGTATGTAGACATGACTTGTATGAAACCACTTATTATGGATACATTACATATACAATATACACTATACAAGATACATATAGATATCCGTATGCATACACGTAGGTACATACACATAAAATAAGTACTTATACATCAAACTCATTATTGCTAAATCAAACTTTTCAGTCATAAATAAACAGAAGAAATAATATAGATATATTTAAAACAACTAAAAACTAATGTATTTGAAAAATGGTTTAGAATGGAGTACTGTGTATAGTTAACTATAGCAAACTATAGTTTTTATACTCATAGTAATACGGTGTTTAATATAGTTTACGGAATT